AAACACCAGCGCGCGACGGGCAGTGCATTAATTATACGCGGCAGTTCGTCACATATTTTTCCTATGATAATGAATTTCATACATCCGACGTAAACGGAATTTGATTTCGTATTTGAGTCAGTCAATTTAACGAGAATCCCAAAACTATGGGCAATATATAACCGCTTGATAGTTTGATTTGTAGCAAGAGGAGCATAGAGAGGCCTGGGTCTTTTTTTTTTACGCAAAACGTCAAAAGCCAGCGAATTTGTTGATATTTGTCCGCAACATTCTTTGTGACGTCAAATATGTAGATCAACAAATCTTTCTCTATTGACTAAATCTAAAAGTATATACCGCACATGATTGAAATTATTGAGCAGCCGGATAAATAAAGCTCCGAATGGCATTGCCGTGACTGCGAATTTTCATACGGGATGCGGAATTGATTTTTCCCACCCCTGTGTGTGTGTCTTGGAAATAGAAGCGGAGAAAAATCCGGATCAGATTCCAAATTCGATGAGTTCACGGGTGAGCGCGCGTGCAAAATTATCCGTGACCGCGCTATCCGACATTAATGGCCGACCTATTTGCATATCGCGTTTAAACTGCGCGAAACGTTATTCCGCTTAATACCGCACTGAGAGGGCGCATATATACTTATCATCTTTTATGACTCTGAGAATATCCAGTTTGTCGGGGAAGAATACTCTATCTCGTGGTCGAGTTCTTAGCCCGCGCGCGCGCGCGCGAGCAAACGTGGCTCGGGCGCGATCGCGCGCAAACAAAACCCACCGTCCCCGTTGTCCTTATCGCCGACGATTCGATTTCTGAGATACTCAAATGCGGTCTGTAATTACAGGTGCGATTCCGGAAAGATGATACGCGACTACCTGATACTGCTCTCATGGCTCTGCGCGGTGCAAGGAAAGATAGGTAAGTATCGTTCACACCCTCCACGCGACTTTGCATCGGTCATCGGAATTTGAATGAAATTTGATTGATAGTTCGTGTATTTACAATGGTGCACTCGCGTCTCTTTACATGCGCTAGCAGGCACAATTTTTAATCCCATATCAAAAGAAACTGCATAACGGCCGCATGCAGTTCGCCCGATGCCTGGAGGCGCGGCAATCTGGTTATCGTTTACGCGCCGTCAGAAAATCTGCCCCGCGGCGCAGCTATCTCGAGAGAAAAACTTTCCAGCGTTATATAATAGGTCGGGAACAACGGCAGATTCGAAGCGATACTGCTTTAGCTGGAATCTCGAAACGAGAGTGCACTTTAAATCCATAGCCACACACGATTTTCGAGAGTACGATCGCAATGGATATAACTAGGACTTAAACTTCCGTGTATTATAGCTTGAATTTATTAAAATTTATATTTTATTTATAATTATTATATTTATATATAAGATTTGTTTTTATTTAGACACTCGCTGTGAAGGATATAAAATTTTAAAGCTATAATATTACTATTAATATAAATAATGAGTCAAAAAAATCATGTACATTCAAGTGTAATATAAATGTCATATATAACATGTCAATATTATTATATTATATAATTATTATTATAAATAAAATGTATAAGGTAGGTATTATTACTATTTTCTCAAAAATTTCACTTGCATTCCATTTTTTTCTATTTTTTGCAAAATAAAAAATATTAGTTCTTACAGTTATCCTAATATTTTTTTTTACATATAATATTTTTTATACATATTTTTTACATATATTTTACACAGTAACAAAATGACAAATGAAAATATTTTTATATTAATAATCGTTGCTATTTTTTTATAGATAAATGGAAATTGTGTTTGTTGGTGCATTAAAAAGATAATATAAAATCCGATTTAAAATAAATATTGCATGCGATTACCTAAGTAAATACAAAATATCAATATAAGAAAAAAATTGAAAAAAATCTTTAGATGCATTATGGCACTTTTCCATATCTCTCTGGCCAAGATGTAATCAATCTAAATTTTGTGAGATGTTGTATAGAACTTTAACTGACGAAAAATTTGTCGGAACAGCAGAATTTCCATCTGCCAAACGAATTTCGCTGTGTGCACCGCAACATTTTTTTCGTGTAGATACGCAAATATGATCTCTATGTTTATTTGTGACAATGGAAGCGCAGCAATTGGTGTGAGATGTATTTTTCCATATCTACGGCAGTGAAAATTGGACTCACCGATCATACTGGTTTTAATCCCTGGGATATTTCGACAAGGTTACACATACCAGCAGCCGAATTTTATAGGAGGGAGGCAAAAACCTGTTTATTTAAAAGAACATAAAAATAACGAGCTTTTTGAACGTATAAATTAAACCTCTTAATAAACAGTGACGGTGTTTGAAATTTTTCGTTGTTTTGCAACGGCAAATAAATTATTTTTATTTCGTCACGTATTACTTTTTCGAAATATGCAATTCAATTGAAGCCGGAGAGTGTTAATCGTGTTAATCGTGTTCAATCGTGTTAAGCGCCAAAACATGTATTGATCTGATATGGAAAATTTTAAAATTGATTGTAGCACTTTTTAAGCTTTTGTGTCTTTTATCCCCTATTAATTTCAATCACAGTCACGATAAAATTTTTTATCTTACAGGATACTTCTGGCACATAACCGACATTCATTACGATCCAACATATGCTACGCAAGGAAACGCCGCTAGTAAGCTACTAATATTCTGCTTTGATGATTTTTGCAATTTTAAAAGTCGGAGAGATCGCTCGGTAAAATTCATAATTTTATGAAAATAAATTGTGATATTTTCGAATTTTTCTTTTATTAATTTATGAAATGAATTTTTAAGAAAAATGTGATTTGTGTGTCTTTGCTAATGAATTGTAAAATTGAAATTTTACGGTATCTTGATGCTATCTTGACTCAATTTGGCTAGAGTTACTTTTATCATCGAGCTAGGAGAGCTTGATCACATAATTATTAACAAGTTTTTTACCTCATTCAATTTTTCATATCTTGTTCAATCACTCACGCGAATCTCATTCTATCAAATTTTATTTCGTCTCGAAAGGTTACGTGACCACGATTTTTACGAAATTCGCGTGAAAATTTTCACTTTTCACTTTTTCGCTCTTAGAGAAAATATACGTGATCGAGCTCCCGTTGTGAAATCTGAACCTTGGTGTTACCACCAAGTATCGATGTTGCCAGATGCCTGGAGGTATAAACTTTCCCGAGCGTTTCATGAAAATTTCTCTAAATTTATCAGTGAAAATTTTCGCAACTTCATAATTTCTGAAATATAATGTAGAACGCTGTGAATATTTTTATCTTTTTCTTTCACCTTTTGCTTGTTTTGATAGAAAAGTATCGCACGTGAGATAATTACTTTTCATTAAACAACATATTTATCTAGAAAATTGAAGAATATATTTTGTAGGAATTAATTATCATGACCTAATAATTAATTACTTACTTTGAATATTTGAATTACTGTCATTTAATAAACTCCTTAGTAATTAAACATTAATTTAATAGCCTATGGTTTATGTATTAGACGGTAAACTTTTGTGTCGACAGATTCGTATCGGGATTTTTTTCGAATTGTCCGTTCAGCATGCAGCAAAATGACTCGCGGGCAACTTCGAGCTTTAACGAATACACGCCTCCGTACCGTTATACATTTCATTTTCCGACGATCGCATGAGCAAATTATTATCATTTCTCTAATAGGATGGTAAAACTGTTATTTACTGGCCTCCCGGGCGCGGGTATTTACCGATCGTTCTAAAGAACGTAGCGTGCCCGGCTGGCACGAGACCCGCACGAAATAGCAACGGCTTGAATTACCCCCCCCCCCCGATCTACCTACCTCGCTTATTCGACCTACCACCTACCATCCTAGGCCTCGTGTCATACGAACGTTAGCGAGATACAAGTCTGAACTCCCTAAAGTGAGGGGGTAAGCGCGACCCCTGGCCGTTCCTTGTCACGCGGCGCGCACTTTTATTCCGCAAGTTTCCACGATCATCACGTCGCATTTCCTCTCCGTCGCAACTCTTCCACTTGAATCGGTCTCTCGTGCGACGATCTCATTTACCAACGTGTTCCAGCGTGCTCGAACATGAGAAACAGCGACGGCGGATGGATGAGGCTCGACAAAAGACTGATGGGCAAGTTCGGCAACTACAGTTGCGACTCGCCTTGGGCCCTGGTCGAATCGGCGGCGCGGGCGATGAGATCGAAGCACAGCGAGGGGATCGAGTTCGTCCTGTGGACGGGGTAGGTCCGGACTATTGTTCACAATCGCGTCGTACGACGCGGGGTTGCACGGGGTTTTTCACAGCGCGTGGTTTCAGCGCAAGTTTCATCGTACGATGGCATCCAAATGGGATTTCATAAATGATAATCTAGTAATTTTTTTTTAACTTATGTATTGTCCCATGAATGCGGATAATTGATGTACAATGTGATCGAAATACGATATGTTGACATAATAAGCTATATATATTAACCGATAATTCGTATTAATGTCTTTCCGCTTTGAATTATACGTATTGAAACGCGAGAATGTTTTATTATCATCAGGATTATTATCACTGTTATTATTGTTATTTTTAAGAGTCCTTTTTCACTTGATTATTTTCGATAATAATAATAATATTATTATTATTATTATTATCATTGCAAATTATTATTGTTGTTGTCGTTATTACTAATTCATATTATATATTTGAAATTTATGAAAATATTCAACGCTTTTATAATAGTCAAACGATATACAACATGCTATCGTTAATAACGATTGTTGTTAAATGAATCATTAACGTATTGTAATTTATTTATGAGGTCTCATTTATTATCAATAAAATTATAAACAAGATCCAGTTTGGGGAATGGCAACTTGTTAATTCAGTTAATAACGTGATTATTATATGTGTTGAATATATTACCGTTAAATAAATTTACTTTACGAACGATTTACTAGTTCGAGGCGTACAACTTTCAATTAATTACCGGAAGCGAAGAGTGCAATTCCGCTGACCAGGATAAATATCATGACCGATGGTTTTCTCCACTTAGCTTTGCCGCTTTATTATAATCATTATCATTATCGGAAATGTAGATGCAAACAAATGCAAATGGCAAATGTTAAAATACTGCTAAAGTATAAATTATTTATTTTCGAAAAGTATAGCTTTGAAACCGTATGAATTTCAAATCCGTTCGGCATTAATATGTTAATAAGATTTGACATATTGAACTCGTATTTCCGTGTTTCAAACTAATTTCATTCCTATTAGTCTAATATACGTAATCATATTTTGAGATTAATTATAAGTTGAGCTTTAATTACGTTTTCTTATATTTTTAATATATCAATTTAATATATCGAAGATATATATTCAGATATTAATCTGTATCGTTTTCTAAAAAGAACAGTCTGAACAGTCTTTTCTCATCCCTTTTTCTCGCCCTTTTCTCCATGTTTATAAATTTATTCTTTCGAAACGTGCCACTTGCATCTTGTCGCGTCGAAGTTTTCTTCGGCGTCCGTCATCGAAGCGACAAAAGACGAAGTGTCGGGGGTTTAATCAGTTATCGTTGACGTAACAATTATCAGCGTTCCGCTCGGGTGACAAGTCGCACGTCTGATTTCGTCCTCGTCATCGTCGTGCCGCATTGCGCCTCATCTCTTGCGTGTCGGCGCGGCGCGGCGCGACGCGACGAGCCCGTCCTTATCCGGCGACATTTCCTCTTCTCCGTTCTATTTATCGACGATAATCACCGACGCTCGCGTTGTAATCCCCGAGTGCGCGCGTTCTATGTAACTAGGACTAACGAGGCTGTAACTACTTGTTGCAGTGACGCGCTGACGCGCAATGCCGGCATGAACGCGGAGCTGCGTCTGCAGTGTTTGCGGAATTTGACCGATCTGTTGCACCGCACGTTCAAAGGGCACTTCGTATTCCCCGCGCTCGGCCATGAAGACATCGGCGTGAATTACACGCAGCTCGCGAGCCTCTGGCAGAACTGGCTACCGCCGGAAGCCGTAGACACTTTTGTAAAGGGTAAGTAGGCAAATCACCGCTGAAACGAAACCAGTCGAAGTCGAAAGAATCGATTTATGAAAAAGTATTTTTCTTTTTTTTTTTTTTTATTATTTTGACAAACAGAGAACAACTTCTTATAAATTTTTGGATGCTGAAAACGATGTCACAAATTAAATTTTTCCAGCAATTTTTAAATTTTCCCAAAAAATTGAAGTTTAATGTATAAAGAATGTTTAATGTGTAAAAAAAGTTTTTTGCGATATTTGAAAATTTTTTATAAAAAAGTTAACGATGATACCTTGAGATTCTAATTAAAATTCATCCCTATAAAAGGCACTTTTTTTATTTTAACATCTTAATTTTTAGCCATGTTTCATAAAGAATTTTAATACAAAGTTTTGTTAAATAGCAAAAGTCTGTGCTGGAAAAATTTGGCTTGCGGCATTGTTTTCAGTAAAAAATCTAGAAGAAATTTATTTGATTCACAAAACTTTCTGCCGTAAACTAGTAACTAATAACTGAATGATGATAATCATCGAGTCAATTTCGTTCTAAATCAGTGATACGTTATACGGTCGATTTAACTTCGGAGAATCTTTATATATATTTTGGTAAAACATTATGCCGCGATATTTATTTATCATTGTATCGTAACATATTAAAATTCAAAAAGAGGCATCTTACGGGGCTCCCGAGAGCTGCATAAGTGATCGGCGAACGAGGTCTGTGCCGCTCTTTGATTCGAAACGCGCGCAACGGATCGATGCAACATTTATAGATGCCCTCTCCCTTTGAAAATGTTACGGCACAAAGTAAGCTTATTGGCGGGCATAAATTCGCCCCGGCTTTACCGCCACGGCACTATTCAAAATTTGTTGCAGCCGGCTACTATACGATCGAGCAGCGCTCGAAAAAATATCGGATCGTCTTCCTTAATACGAATTTGTGGCTGAGCTCGGTCGACAGCCGTATGCTGCATCGCGCCGGAAGCAGCACGGTCGATAACACGCAGGATCCCTTCGGCCAATGGTCCTGGTTCCAGTCGGTCCTCGAGAATGCGCGGAAGAAGAAAGAGACGGTAGGTTGTTACTTTGCGATATATGATATTATTGGTCTTCCGAGTGAGCTATTATACCGCGCGTTACTCGGACGCGCATTACTTTCCTCCTGTTATATTGCGCTCTTCCGTCGTCGTTATACGACGGCGGATAATAAATAATTCCCGGCATCGCCGTATCGATAAACGATTTTATGGATTATTGTCGAGGATAAGGAAGTACCGTGAAAATGATAAAGGCGAGGCCTCGCGCGCGGTTCCGGTTGCGCGCGGAGAACAGAGAGAGCGGAATCTAAACGAGAGGATACCGATGAAAATCGGGAAGAGATTCGGTATTAATTCAACCGGACTGATCCCTGTTTGGATAGTCTGTCGGGATAATGGAATTTTCATTTTTTAATGTATGTATCATATTATTTCGACGGCGATATCGATTTTTGGCAGTGCACACTGGTTCGAAACTCTTCAACGTACGTGGAACTAAATTAGGCGGAAATATTCTATGAGACTATCTTTGTACGTAATACGATTTCGTATATTGGACTCGCCTCGGTATAATGGCCGCATTGAAATTTTTCGTGTCCGTTGAATCGCGCGCGCGTGTGCGCGCGCGCGCGCGCGCGCGCGTGTGTGTGTGTGTGTGTGTGTGTGTGTGCGTGCTGTCCCGTATAGATTGCACGTAAAAAGATAATACAGGGCAAAGAACTTTTACGTGTCATCAATTTTCTCGGATCGATGGAAATGAACGACGGGATATCTCGGAGCGGGCGTCGAGTCACCTGCCATTATAAGCGCAAGTAAATTAAGCTCTTTCTAATGAAGCTGATCATCGATAAATCTGTGGACATGAGTTTTAACAGGGAAATTGATTGGATAAACGAACGTTTAATCATGGAAAATCGATGTACCCTCGGTGTCAGGTATGCCCTAAATTATATAAAATTACGCAATTTCATACTTTTAGATATTCGCGCACGACGAGTTATTGACAGAACTGTGTTTGACAATTTGTCACAAATGTTGAGTGCGTATTTAAGAGATAAAACGTAACATTAAAAAATAAATAACAGCTTACGCAATATTGAATTAACCGGTGAAAAATACAATTTATATTTTGCAAGTAACAATTATGAAGTCCGAATATTTGAAAACAATGCATAATTTGTATTTCTTTCCAAATGTCGCACGTCTATATTCTAAAGTTAAATATCGTTTTGCTATTTTAGATTTCTGTGTATATATTTATATATAAGCCTGTATATATTTATGTATTTATGTATTATTGAACGATCGACTCTTATTATTTTAATTAGATTCGTTCTATACATAATATACCACGATGATTAAACGAGTCAACGAGCAAAAAACATCACAAAGTTTTTAAACATATGCTAATGGAGTTGAGATACCTTTTTTTTGGGGATGAACGCGTCAATATTATTCGCTTATCGTGAAGAAACTCGCATCAAACAGCTGATGCAAATGGCACAAAAAAGGGAGGATGAGAGGTACTTGTTCTTTGCACGTCCAATAAATTACTAAATAGATTTTTAATCAGCGCCGCGGCGGCTCGCTTTTATACAGAACTTCGCGAGTATACGAATATTCGATACGAACTTCCCAGCCAATGCAAAAACGCTTGGGCCACTCGCACGATCGCGCTTATTGGAAAGCACGTTTCGCGAACTTTCCTTCGGAAGATTAATATCAAAAGTCGCGAATCTCGCGCGCAATATCGCTTAATTCAATATCTTACTTTTTTTTTTTTTTTGCGAGATACGCCGCTCCTCCCGTCCAATAACATCGCGCCATAATTTTTTTAAAATGAAGTAAACCCAAACTTTCCTCCGTTGTGCTTAATCCTCGCGGTACACTTCGATCGGGTGATATTTACTTTAATTTAACTTAATGACAGATTGACTTAACGGTATCACGACAGGCGCAACGGTATAACGACAGTTTGCGGCGTGAGTTCTAATATCGTTTCTACATCGGGTACACAGAGAATTCTCGCGATTACCAGTGCCGTCAAGCTCGCCGGACATCGTAGAATTATGAATGGCACGTGTTCCGTTCGGTAAATATGCACGTATAAAACACTCCCCCCCCGGTATCTCGCGTGTCACACGGCAAGTTGAGTAATTGAAGGCTGCCCAAAGATGCAAAGATATTACTCGGTTTCGCGGTTTATCATTTCGCGAAAAGCGTGGAAAACCCACACAAACTGCGTGACGGCATTAGGGAAAATTTAAGACGACGGTTATGACTCTCTCATCTCACTCCGCTGCGCGACGAGATTGTTTCTCTTTTTCTTTTTCTTTTTTTTTTTTTTTTTTTTATTTATTTTCTAAGTAATTAAACTTACTACGTATGCGCGCGATGGACAATTGCAATGTAAGCAATGAAAAAGATCGCGCGGTATAAACGTATTTTTGCGCTGCATGTCCGTCGTATTAAAACGTCAACGCGACACAGGTGCGATCGTCAAGAAGATAAATTTTAATGAAATAAATTCCCGCGGCGCATACGAGGACATACGAGGCGAATAAAATCCCGCTGATCGGACTTCAATGGGATGTATGATTTATCAAGCGAGCTGTTTTGTCGTCATCATTTTCGTTCCTCCTCGTTCGCACGTTTATAAATTATGACACGCGACTAGACACGTTCGCTGGACAGCTGACGACACATCGCGATTTTCGATTCTCTTGATCACGTTTTGGGTCATTATTCGTCATTATCAGCTCTTGAGCGGCGCATCCACGAATCCGAAGCTTTCTCGGAAACTCGAGGATGGAAATTTATAACCACAGCTAACCGGATCTTCGTAGGAAGACGGAGCAAATTGTATAATCGCCATCGACGATTCGAATGCAAATTGCAACGAAAGAGCGACTCTATTCCCGACAAATACAATTTCCCCGGGATTTCCC